TCAACATCGTTGGCCTCTTCCTGGGCATCATCACTGCCGCTGTCCTGGGGGGCTTTAAGGACATGGTAAGGAAGCAAGTAACTTCGAATTTCCACAGAGGCCCCTCTTCCTGTAAAGGGTGGGGCAAGGCTCAGCGGGTGGGGGCTATGGGGACCCACGTTTTGAAGGGAGGAACAGAAACCATTGCTTCAAGAATGTAGCTGCCTTGGGGGGTGGGGAGGGCGGGATTTCCTGGTGCTCCAGTGATTAGGACTCTGTGCTTTCACTGCCCAGGGCATCGGTTCAATCCCTGGTCCAGGAAATGAGGTTCTACAAGCCACATGGCATGTGGCACAGCCAAAGGAAAAAAAATGTAGCTGCCTTCAAACATCTTAAGTCAAAGGAGCCAGGTCATGTCCTCAGCCTGCAAACATGTCTTGTTAACATGAGACATTGCCTGTGTTTTTGATGCACATTCTGGGGACAGGTGGGGTTCATGCTGGTTATGTAAACATAGCCTGTCATTACCCCCACTCAACCCACACACACTTTTAGTAGAAAATCTTTTGGGGTAGTTTTCCCTGTTACAGACTTTGGGAGAGCTGGAAGGAAAGACGTTTTTAGCTACAGGTAAGAAGTATGGCTGTCTCCCCCTCCCCAGGAATTTCCCCCTGCAGTTTCTCCAGAAAGAGTGAAAGTGAAAGCCCAGCCTCAGGCTGAGCTGCTTGTCCATATTCATGTGAGTGTGAATATGCACCTCAGGGCTCAGCACCCAGGAGGTCCTCCATAGTCCTGGGGGCCTTCCCTCTTTTGCTTTTAAAGCTTTTGTTTGCTTATTTAATAAATCTTGATCTCTAATTATAGAGATAATAGCTTTAGAGCTCTGGTTCTCAACCTGGCCTCCTATTAGAATACAATCACCTGAGGTGCTTTAAAAAACCTGCCGGCCTGGGCCACTCACTCTAAATTGAAGCTCAGGCAGCAGTACTTTAAAAAAAGCCCTCCCGGTGATTCCAGTCTGTGGCTACACTGCGTGCATGCTCTGTCACTCAGTTGTGTCTGACTCTCTGTGACCTCATGGACTGTAGCCCGCCAGGCTCCTCTGTCCATGGGGATTCTCCAGGCAGGAATACTGGAGTGGGTTGCCATGCCCTCTTCCAGAGGATCTTCCCAATCCAAGGATGGAAGCCACTTCTGCGCATCTCTTGCATTGCAGACGGAGTCTTTACTGCTGAGTCACCAGGGAAGCCCCATGGTTGAGTAGGGTTGCTTTAAAGGAATGTCCCACCCATGTCTAGGAAATTATTTTGTGCCTAAAAAGGGCCTCCTTTGACCCCAGAAATGACACAGATAACCCCTAGGCCCTTGGCGGTTTCTGTCCCATTTGGGGCGTGGCTGAGGAACTGGAGGCTAAAAGTCAGTTTTTAGTTTGGGCCTGGATCATCAAAAGGATGAGTAATGGAAACTGAAAGTGGAATAGGACCACAGAAGAGAAAAAAAAATGTAGTTTGCGGCAACAACTTCCCAGCAGAACCGGGCTGACTGGTAGTATTGAGTGTTCCTGCTGTTGACCCTATGGCCAGAGAAAGTCTTCCCTGCTCCTATCCAGCCTGTCTGTCTGTCTTTTTCCCCCTCTGTCTCTTACGCATGAGGCTTCCCAGGTGGTTCAGTGGAAAAGAATCCACCTGCCAAGGCAGAAGATGCAAGAAATGCAGATTCAATCCCTGGGCCGGGAAGACCCCCTGGAGGAGGGCACGGCAACCCACTCCAGTATTCTTGCCTGGAGAATCCCCATGGACAGAGGAGCCTGGTGGGCTACAGGTCATGGGGTCGCGAAGAGCAGTTGTGACTGAACAGACATGCACACTCGCATTCGTTATTTCCACACGCCTTCTCCCACTCAGGAGAGCTCAGGCCCTAAGCCTGCTGGAGGCGTGGGGCTGGGGGGGGGGGCAGCTTGGAGGGAGAAGGCTGTCCTCTCAGTTCGAGCCTGAGGGAGCTTTGGCATGAGAAAGCTTCTTCAGAAAAGCTGTTTCTGGATTGGGGCTTCTTTGGAGAAAACAGTGCACTTTGTCCTTTTCTTTAAAACTTGTATTGGTGTATAGTTTCTTTACGAGGTTGTGTTACTACTATATAGCAAAGTGAATCAGCTATACATATACATATATCCCCTCTTTTTTTGGATTTCCTTCCCATTTAGGTCACCACGGAGCACCAAATAGAGTTTTCCCCAGGGGACAGACGAAAGCAGTGGTCTTGTGTAGACTCTGAGCCGCTCTGACTAGAAGCGAAGCTTCTGGTTGGGGTTGGCGAGTTGAGATGGGACATCCGATGGGTGTTAAGGGTTCTCTGAATTTTCTCTGAGCTCTGAGACGTGGACAGCCAAGCACCCTGAGGCACAGAGTGACTGGCGGCCACCTGCTAGGCTCTGTGGGGCTCCTGCAAGGACCCCTGTCACAACTCAGTTGACCGTTGATGTATAGATTTATTTCTGAACTCTTTTAAAAAAAATCGTTGAGGTATAGTTGACGTTACTATAGCATATTAGTTTCAGGTGTACCGTGTGGACTGTTCATTTCACTGTGACCTTTGATCTCTAGGGGAGTAGGGGTTTGTTGACAGTCTGTCCTGAGAGGTGGCAGTAATGGCTCCTTTACTGTCTGTAACGGGCTTTTGCACAATTCCCTTCTCCGCTCCTCCCCCACTACTACCACCTCATGAAGTATTACTCTCACCATTAACGGTTGAGGAAACAGGCCCACAGGAAGTCAAGTGACCTGCCCTGGGCTAAATAGCAGAGCTGGGAGTGGAACCCAGGTGTGTCAAATGCCAGAGCCTTTGCTCCCACTGCTCCATCCCAGCTGCCTCTGGGGAGCATTTGGCCAGCCCTTTCTGGTTCCATAGGTGTTTTAACAGACATCACCTCCTTTGTTTAGTTTCTTTAATTTTAAAAATTAAGGGCCAGTTGTTTCCAACTGTTGGGAGCTTCTCTGAGAAATGAGGAGAGTGAGGGAAGACCTGAGGCTCATCCAGTGCCAAGCCTGGGAACCCAATAGAGGGCCAGTAGGGAAAACAAAAGATGAAGGCAAAGAGCAGAGGCAGGAGATTTGATTCATGACAGGAGAGAGCAAGTATGAGCTATATACTACGACAGGGCACCAAAGAGGAACCATAGTTTTGATCGCTTTATGAAAATGAGACATGGTGTAGAAAATCCTGGAACATCAACCAGAAAATCCTTGGCCTACGTCCAAACGTGCTTGGTGCCTCGTGATGATGTGTCTCCACCCTGAGTAAATGCCTTGGGGGCCTCAGAGAGGCCCAGGGGTGCTGGCTGATGAAAGGCATTCCTGAGGAGTGAGGCCAGGAGCCAAAGGCTGTGAGCTGGCAGCCTTCAATGGGATCAGCTCGGAGCACTGTTTCCACAGTTGTGGGAGCCTGAAAGGAAAAAGGACGTCTTCATTCCCTGACCAGAGGGGCTTGGTGCCAAGGATCTTGAAGAAATGTTGGATGACCACAGTGTTTGCGGCTGAAAGATATGAGAACTTGAGATGAATCATAAGAAGTAATAATATCTTGCCATTTTTTGCTAGTGTCTCTGGTGTAAAGTAGGGAGAAATCAAAGTGGTCTTCTTTCCAAAGTCCACAATCATTGTCTTTGAAGGGACTCAGTTTTGTCTGGGCAAGATGGATTTGACCATTTCCTATGCCTGGAGGAGGAAATGGCTACCCACTGCAGTATTCTTGTCTGGAGAATCCCATGGACGGAGGAGCCTGGTGGGCTACAGTCCATGGGGTCGCAAAGAGTCAGATACAACTGAAGCAACTNCCCATGGACGGAGGAGCCTGGTGGGCTACAGTCCATGGGGTCGCAAAGAGTCAGATACAACTGAAGCAACTTAGCACAGCACAGCACATTTCTTGTGCTTGTGAATCACTGTTTCACTGGAGCTCAGGATGCTACTCATCAGAAGTGGAGATCTCATAACTTAAGCCCCAGAATTATTGGTACAGAAACACGCATTCCTGTATACACACATGAATAGAAACAGAGCCCAGATTTATTGTAAAAGCAGAATTATGAATTTAAAACTGTAACCAGACCATGCTCTGGGGCAATCACTTTTGCTCCTTCCCTGCCCACTCCCAACTTCACCCCCCTTGACACTCTCAACCTCTCTTGGTACCTTGTCCATTTTCTCTACATCCTCTGCACCTTTCATCTGTGGCTCTCCTGTGCTTATTTCATTTCCCCCCATGTGTTTCTTTCTCTATAATATTCAACTTCCTTTCAAAGAGGATCCTGCACCCTCAGCCTTGCTACACACACAAAACCTTCTCTAGATAGTTTATATTCCCCGATTGCTTCTCTGTGGTTGCGTGTGTGTGCTCGGTTGTGTCCCACTCTTTGTGACCCTACGGACTGTTGCCTGCCAGGCTCCTCTGTCCATGGGATTCTCCAGGCAAGAACACTGGAGTGGGTTGTCATTTCCTCCTCTAAAGGATCTTCCCAACCCAGGGATTGAACCTGCGTCCCTTGCGTCTCCTGCACTGGCAGGCGGGTTCTTTACCACTGAGCCATCTGGGAAGCCCTCTTTTTGCATAGAAGAGCTGGTTTCGTTTTGCAAGAGTTGGAGGGTGTGGTTTTAACTGGCACAAGGCCAAGGGAACATGATTTCTGGGACTTCCTCAGGGGTGACATTTCTTCTTGGAATCCTGGTGGAGAGGTAAGGGCATTGCTGAACACTACTTGTGTAATGCGAGCCAGCCCTTGGAATGGTCAAGACCTCAGCCCTCTCCCACACATGAGAGAGGCTGAGAAACATTTCTGTGGTTGTCTGTGAGCAGCATCATAATGACTGAGGTTTGTAGCTCTTCAAACCTCCTAGAGATGTAAACAGTAACCCACTCCACGGAAGAGAGCAACAGACTGTGTTGAAACTTGCTCTACGGGAGTTTCCTCTGCCAACACCCCAACATGGTTGCCTGTGCCATTGCCAAAGCCTGCCCACACATTTTCATCACTTGAGAGGAAGCTTCTGCTCGCTGTTAACGCAAAGTAGATACATACCACAAACAAGACACATGGACTTTGTGGACAGCTCTAGATTACACGCACGAACAGAGGGGGTGTCAATGACATGGACCATGGAAAGGACATTTCTTCCACACCTTGAGCCATGTGGCACTCATAAGGTACAAACCAGTCCTGCCTGGGAACTCATGCGCAGTGGTGACTTCCTCTTGCAGTGTTTTGGCCTTATTGAAATCCAGACTCCCATCCTAGACAAGATTGGCTTTAACCCTTGAAGGGCTACACACACCACCATGTTATAAAAAGGGTATTCAATTCTTTCTGCATTGTTTTATTTTCCCAAAAATGTGTGTGTGGGGGAGGGTATCAATATACTGTACTTGGTCTTTCTTGGTTTCAGTGTTAGGGTTTTGCCTCCAGCCCACAGGGCTGAGGCAAAGTGAATACCTTCATGTGTGCCTGCGAGCTCCTTAGCGAGGTTGGAATCTGCAAGAATCCTTACAGTTTTTACAAACTCTTCATGATTGATCATATTTTTGTCACAGTGAGAGCAGTAGTCTTGTTGGTTTGACATTTTGTATTGGGGGGAGGTTCTCAATTTTTTTTCATTTGTGTTTTTGAAAGTCAAAGATTTCAACTATTCTATTGGTTTGAATTTTTCAAAATAGTCAGTGTGGGGAAATGACACAAGTGATACATAGTAGTTGTGAAAACTTTGGCTGTATAATTGAGAATAAAGAGTCCCCATTTACTTCCTAATACCACTGCCCTCCCCAGAGACAGCCATAGCTAACAGTTTGTTGTGAATCTTTCCAAATTAATTTCATCGACAAGTGTATATTCATATATAACTGTTTGGGTCTTTACATAAACTGGGATTATGCTATAGTAATAGAACATGGTGACTTTTTAAAAGATTTTATTTTTAGAGCAGTTTTAGATTCACAACAAAACTGAGATGAAGATACAGAGATTTCCCAGAAACTTTCTTCCCCGACACACAGCCTCCCCCGTTATCAGCCTACCCTGTTATCAACATCCCCCACAGAGTGGTACATTTGTTAGCAAGGATGAGTGTATATGGACGCATCATAATTACCCAAGGTCCATAGTTTACCTTAGGGCCCACTCTTGGTGTTGTAATTCTATGGGACATAGAATATTTGACAAATGTATTGGACAAATGAATTCTATTGGACAGGTGTATAATGACATATATCCATCATTCTGGCAGCAAACAGTGTTTTCACTGCCCTAAGTACCCTCTGCGTTCTTCCTGTTCATCCTTCTTCCCAATCCCAACCCCTGACAACCAGTGATCTTTTATTGTCTCCATAGTTTTGTCAGTGGCTTGCTTTCTTAAACATTGTTTTTAAGTTTCATTTTTGACTGCATGCAGGCTTTCTCTAGGTGCAGTGAGCAGGGGCTCCTCTTCGTTGTGGTGTGTGGGCTTCTCATTGCCGTGGCTTCTCTTGTTGCAGAGGCTGGGCTCTGGGCTGTCAGGCTCAGCAGTTGTGGCATCTGGGCTTATCTCATGGCATGTGGGATCCTCTCGAACCAGGGAACAAACCTGCATCCCCTGCATTGGCAGGCAGATTCTTAAGCACTGAAGTACCATGGAAGCCCTGTTTTTGTTTTTTATGTTTACAAATATATTCTGGACAATCTCCCTGTCACTAACTATAGGTGCACGTCATCGTTTATCAACAGCTCCATAGTATTCTGTGGTATGGATGTCCCATGGTTTATTTAACCATTCTCCTAGTGATGAACATTTATATTGTTTTTGATTTTACAGAACCCAACTCTCCCAGCACTGAACTGTTCTGTTGAAAATGCCCATCCAACTGTTTCTTACTATGCTCGTCCTCAAGTGGCATCCTACAACACCTACTACCATAGCCCTCCTCACCTGCCACCTTATTCTGCTTATGACTTTCAGGTATGTTTTGAGAGAAAAAAGAAGTTTCTGTTACCCTTGCTCTCGCTCATCCTCTCTTGTTCTCTCCCTAATTATGGATCCTTCCTAATCTATATGAGGCAGCCAGGCTCTCCATCCCGCAGCCTGTGGGTACCCGTGAAGCTTAACGACTGCATAGGCAGGCAATGATGGTGGAGGCTCGGAAAGACACAAGAGGAGATGCAGAAGAGTGATGGACGAAACGGGGAGAGAAGGAGATAGGATTCAGATGTCCCAAGTGGCGCTGACCCCCTGAGGTACTCATGAGTATGTCACCACAGACTCCTGTCCAATGGTGGCTTTTTCCATTTCTCTACCACAGGAAGAGGCTTGTCTAGTCCTGTTACATAGCACAAGGACATGCTGAGTCACACAAGGGTTTGAATCAAATCTGTAATGAAGAAGCAGTCCCTTCTTTTTTTCTAGACTTCCTAACTGGGCCTATACAGAGAAAATATTTTTTATAACACCCTTCTACCTTCCTTTAAAAATTTTTTTTGCCTTGTTATCATGTGGGTCAGAAATAGTGTTACCAAATTTGCACTTTCCCATTTTCCTTTTGAGTTAAGATGAAGCACAGAAAAACAGAACCCAAAAGGCACTTCATTAAAGGGAATTCATTGTACGTGGGCAGAGCGCTGAAATAGACACTTCAGGAAAACAAACGAAATGGTCTTTTAGGCATTTACAGTGATTATAAACCCCAGACCACAGAAGAGAGGGATTCCACTCGAATCTGGTTAGTTCAGGATTTGGGGACCAGGGAAATGCCTTTGAAAGGAGGCAAACCCATAATGAATTTCATTCTATTGACTAGGAGTCCTGAATGTTCCAAAGGGACATAAAAGCATGGCTGTTTGGGGGTGCTTCCAATTAACCAGCCAGTTTAGAAAAACAGAGCCCTTGGAAAACCTAGTTTCTGCCTCAGATTAACAAAATAATTGAAACTGAAAACCCTCCCCATTTAGTTGAGTAAAGTGTACTTTGGTTTGATTTAGACACTGTATGGGCAGGTCTAGGACTCTATACCGCAATAGGAATACGTCTCTATAGTGTGAACGTGGACTTGTTCACTGTCATAAAATATAGCACCAGCACAAAGAGGCATCCATTAAAGCTTCGGGGAAAGTGTTAGAACTTGTTTTAAAGCCTACTGTGTTCACAGGTAGACAACTCAGGGAACCTGTTTCCCAAACAAATAATATAGACTAAAAAACACAAATATGCTCTGAAAGGGCATAGATAATTGCAGTAGTGACAGGGGCAAAAAGGAACCCTTTAAGAGAATTCAGGGACATTGAACCTAGCATAAGAGGGTCACCATTCTTTGAGGCATCCATAACCAAAAGTCATCCTGGGATAGAGGGGCCATGCATGGCTCCCAAGAGGCTGCTTCCATTTTTTTTTAATATGGAAGTAAATTATATTGATTAGCTTGGTTTTTGGACTTTTCACTTTATAACAAACCTCTGGAGTAGGAACAGTAACCTCCTTAGTAATGGCTGCTACAAACTCTTAAGATAGGAAGTCCCTGTTTATGTAATGGAGCTATCTTTCTGCATATCATTACTCATTCCAAACCATCCCAGGCATGAAAACAAGGTTGCCCAATGCCAATGGTGGCCCAGACTGTCGGTTTCAGTTCAGTCAGTGTTCCCATGTGCCAGACGCTGTACTCGGAGCTATAGATGTAGAGACTGAGTAAGACCTAGGCCCTGCATTAAGAGATCAGTCTAAGGACCTGAGTGGGCATACCCAGGGGCAGCAGTGAGGACAAGGATGTATATCCAGGTCTGTCTGAGGCCAGAGACTGGCTTGGGGGATTCTTTGGAGAAGCTGTAAATCTGAGCACAGTATCCATCTTTTCCCCAGTTAGTTTCAGAATATTTCCATGTTTTACTGCTTTAAATTATGGGCTTTCTAATCATTACTCAGAAAGGTTCTCTTGACTCGCTCTTACCGTGTGATTACATGGCTCCCCACTCCAAGGACTGCTGGGCCACTTCGCATACCTCTCCTGGTTCTTTCCAGAGGTTCAAGCTGTCTTTTATATTTCCTTTTTGGAGACTTTCTAAAGTTGTGGGTTTTAAGGGATATGATTTATTTATTTGGCTTCACTGGGTCTCCAACGCAGCATACAGGCTCTTGGTTGAGGTGCGTGGGCTTTCTCTAGTTACTGTGTGGGCTTCTCTAGATGTGTCGCATGGGCTTAACTGCCCTGTGGCATGTTGGCATGTGGGAATTTAGTTCCCTGACCAGGGATCGAACCTGTGTCCCCTGCATTGGAAGGCAGTTTCTCAACCACTGGACCACCAGGGAGATCCCTAAGGAATATGTTTTTAAGTGGTATTTGTTTCCCTCGAGAACTTATACAGCATTTCATTTTAGTATTTGAATGGAGCTTTCTTTTGTTCACCAAGTTCCAGTCCCTTATCGTTTCATACAAGGAAATACCAGTCTTTACCCAAGAAAGCCAGGAAGATTAGGGCCATCTGCTGTGTTCCCAGATAAATGGAAAGCAGTCAGCAAAATGCATACCAGCTCTGACAATAAAAGCAGCAGAAGCACAGACCTAACAACAACATCCAAAAGCCAGAGCTCCATTATTCTCTTAGATTGTATTGGGGGCCCAAATAATAGCAGGAAAATAGACCTTTCTGGGCTTTGTTCTGAATGATTTCCTCAATTTCATCATTTCCAAATAGAACTATTTATGTCACCTTGAAGACTTCTCTCTCCCTTTTTACCCCTAAGGCTGATGAGATTTATAGGGTATTCTTTTAACCCTGCAAAATCACACCCTTGTTGGGTAGCTGTCCAGTAAGGAAGCTTGGGAAGCATTTCTTGTGGTCAGATGGGGGCGAGGATGTGGATCTGGTCAGGTGACCCTGAAGATGTCATGAGGGCTGAGCTTGGATAAACAGGATTCTTGCAGACATTGGACTTGAAGCCAAGGCTGTCAGTGCCTCCTTGCTTACCTTCCTGCACTCACTTCTCTTGTACCTTGCACTCACTTCTAGGTAGCCAGGAAGTCCATATCCTGTAGGGTATGAAACATCAGTTTCTACTTCTACTGGGAAATTCAACCCTGTGTAGCTTGGGGGTCTGCTTCCCTGGGGGCTCAGTGGTAAAGAATCCACCTGCCCAATGCAGGAGATGTGGGTTCAATCCCTGGGTTAGGAAGATCCCCTGGAGAAGGGAATGGCAACCCACTCCAGTATTCTTGCCTGGGAAATCCCATGGACAGAGGAGCCTGGAGTGCTACTGTCCATGGGGTTGAAAAAGACGCCGACCTAGTGGCTAAACAACAACAACAAACTTTGGGGTAAATCCCTTAATGATTCCAGTCTGACCTACTGGGCCAGAACCCCTACTTCACTCTAACCATGTCCCTGTCCTGTCCATTTGGTGAATCGCCAAGTTTAGCTTAAAACATGAGCCTTTGCAAAATGCCACTGCCTCTGTGGATGGTCTTTATTAAATCACAGAAAGGTACACTAGGTTTTGATGTAGCCACTGAAAAGGATCCATTATAAACTGGGCCTACTGAATGAGAGGGTGGAGGCCGTCTTGGGGGAGGTGGTAGATGGAACAGGTGACTGACAACCTTAGAAGGCTGCCACTGCCACTCAGCCTTCTATTTCCCCTCTCCTGCCAAGCTTCTCCTTGCCTCTCCTCTCTCGTTTCTGATCCCTCCCTTTGCTCCACTCTTCTCTCTGTCTCTCCTGGGTTTGCTTTCTGGGCTGGAAACAGAAAATGAAAGTGAAAGTGAAGTAGCTCAGTCATGTCTGACCCTTTGCAACCCCATGGACTGTAGCCCACCAGGCTTCCCTGTCCACGGGATTCTCCAGGCAAGAATACTGGAGTGGGTTGCCATTTCCTCCTCCAGGGGATCTTCCCGACCCAGGGATCGAACTCGGGTCTCCCGCAATGCAGGCAGACCCTTTAATCTCTGAGCCACCAGGAAAGTGGAAACAGAGGGGGAATGCAAAGAACCAAGAGGCCCTGGATTTTACCCTTGGAACACAGCATCTTTTGCTGGTGTAACCTTCATCACCCGGCCAGTTACAGGGCTCTTTAGGAAGTCACTGCCTCCCAGCGCTTTCAAAGAGAGAGGCACACGTGACAGAAATGCACATGGGTCTTGCAGAGTGTGGGTCCGCCTGGGGCAGGGAGGGGCAGATTGAGGCGGGAGAGGAGTGTCTGCGAGGGTGCTCTCACCTCCTCTGTCCCTGCGATAAGCCACCCCAGCCTCTCAGAAGCAGCTCAGGAAGCTCGGAACCCAGCAGTAGGCTATTTAGATGCTTTTCATGCTTTTCATGCTTTGTGGTGTGAAAGGATTCAAAGCTCTGTTCTTCTGAGTGGCCCGTCCTGTCCCGTTAGTCAAGTCTTAGGCAGGAACTAAAATGCACGGGGCCTGCTCCCCAGCTGCAACAAAGCCGAAGCTTTCCCAAGGTGCCTGCCTGTTGCTAGGAAACTATGCTGGTGCCCACCCCCTCCAACCCCGCCATCCCAAAGGCGGGGGGTGGACTACCGCCTGTTAGCTCCCTTGCTCTGCCATTTATCCCTAAGACTCCAGCATCATCAGAGGGCAGTGAGAAGCATCCCACCCCCATCTCCCTAAATACCTTCTTATACGGGAAACTTCTCTGGTAGCTCAGTTGGTAAAGAATCTGCCTGCAATGCAGGAGACCCAGGTTTGATTCCTGGGTGGGGAAGATCCCCTGGAGAAGGGATAGGCTACCCACTCCAGTATTCTGGCCTGGAGAATTCCACTGGACTATAGTCCATGGGGGTTGCAAAGAGTCAGACACGACTGAGCGACTTTCACTTCACAGGAAACTGAGAGGTGAAAACCCAAGGTGGCTGTACCACCCCCTCTTAGGATCAAAGTCTACAGCTGCCCCCAGCAGCCTGTTATTGCCTCTCTGGACAGAATGACCTTTAGCTCCACCTTCAAAACTTGCCTTCCCTTCTGTGTCTGGGGGGCAGGGAACTGGCCTTCTGACTCTATCCTGGAGCGGGATTTAGAACGGCAGAGTGTCACATCTCTGGACACAGAGATCTTGTCTCTGGTGGAATTTTGCTTTCCTCTCTGGTTTAAGAGGACAGTGAAAGCAACAGAGGAGGAGTGAGAAAGAGGAGAGATCATGAGACCAATGTCAAAGGAAGCATATCTCTTCCTGGAGGGAAAAGAAATTTGGAGATTTTTGGAAGCAATCTGGCTTGTCTCAAGTCAACTGCCTCAAGGTCTTTTATCTTTTTTTTTTTTCTGCTGCACCATGCAGCATGTGAGATCTTAGTTCCTCAACCAGGGATTAAACCCATGCCCTCTGCATTGGAAGCATTAACCACTGCATTGTAAGCCTTAACCACATAACCAGGGAAGTCCCTCAAGTTTTTTTATTTTTTTGTCTTTAAAGGCTTTCTATGACCCTGTCATTCCTTCTCTTAGATCAAAAGGGTGGGTGGGGTGGGGGAGGATCGGTCCTGACATTATGTGGTAGGAGACAGAGATTTCAATGTCTAAAGCAAGACCTAGAAACCAGGATACCCCTTTCTAAGGAGTGCGGAGGTCAGGACTGGGGATAAGGAGAATCAGCCAACTGGTCTTAGGCTCCAGATACCTCCTGGCAAGGCTGACTCTAGATTGTTCTAGGCCTGGAAATGACATGATCAGCTTAGACTCCAGGGCTTCCCAGGTAGCTCAGTGTAAAGAATCCACCTGCCAAGCAGGAGATATGAGCTTGACCCCTGATCCAGGAAGATCCCCTGGAGAAGGAAATGGCAACCCACTCTAGTATTGTTGCCTGGGAAATCACATGGACAGAGGAGCCTGGTGGGCTACAGTTCCTAGGGTATCAAGGAGTCAGACATGACTTAGCAACTAAACAATCAGCCACTTTGACTCTGGCCAGCAGAACAAAGTAAAGGTATTGACCTTCCCAAACAGCACTTGAACTCTTGAGAAATTTTGGTATAAGTGTGTCTTTTTTTTAAAATATAGCAGTTCCTCCTAGAGCTAAGGCACAACAGAAAATTGCCATTCTACATACCCTATTCGTTGGCTTACGTTTGCTCTTATTGGAGACCCCTCCAGCCTTCAGGCCTCAGCCATGCTCCACCACTGGAGCAAGGCCACGGTACCCACAAGATGTGACTGTAGCCTTTGAAAATAGATTTTATTTCTAAAAAACATGCCAAGTTCATCTTCTGTGCTCTATGAGTGACTGAAGTCTTAGTCACTCATCCAACATTGATTGAGCAACTTCTACTTGCCAATCACTGTTCTGAGCTCTGGGGGAGAGAGCAGTGAACAAAACAGGTCAACTCTCCTTGAGTAGGAAATTCAGGGTCAAGGGTATACACTGGCCAGGAAAGAGAAGTGGCAGATTGACTCCTAACATGCTGATTCACTGGGTATTTTTTTTTTTATCCCATATCTCTCTCCCTTACCGAAGTGCCATGCATGATCCATTGCTCTGTCATATCCAGCTCTTATGATCCCATGGACTGTAGCCCACCAGGCTCCTCTGTCCATGGGATTTCCCAGGCAAGAATACTGGAGTAGGTTGCCATCTCCTTTTCCAGGAGATCTTCCCAACCCAGGGATCGAACCCATGTCTCTTGTATTGGCAGGCAGGTTCTTTACCACTGAGCCACCTGGGAAGCCCTCCCAAAATAACACAGAAGTAGGAGCAACAGGATAACTGACTGAATGAGAGGTCCAAGAGGCTGGGAAAGAGGATTCCAAGGCATCTCTGCCTGAGCTTTGCAGCCTGAGTGAGAAAGTGGGACCAGTTCCATTTCATGGCCCTCATTAACCCTGCAAGGTTTAGGGGCTCTTGGTTGCTCCAAACTGGAACACACTGGGTCCATGTTCATTTTTAAATAATGACTAATGTTGGGGAATTGCAACCTCATGGTGGAAACTGATGTTTTATTTTGATTGCACAGCATTCCAGCGTCTTTCCATCCTCCCCTCCCTCTGGACTTTCTGACGAGCCCCAGTCTGCTTCACCTTCGCCCAGCTACATGTGGTCCTCAAGTGCTCCACCCCGTTACTCTCCACCCTACTATCCACCTTTTGAGAAGCCACCCCCTTACAGCCCCTAAAGAGGAATGCCCGCTGGCTGTTGAGATTACTGTGGCTTTTGTATTTCTGCTTTAGTGGAAGTGTGTAGGGTACAAAATTTAAAGTGTGACTCATAAAGTTTGACAGTGGCCTGCCAGGCTAGGGAAAGATAGGGAAGAAGTTTATTTGTTATTAGTGCAGAGGAGGGGTGGCCAGGCTGAGCCCAGCAGTTCTGAGCAGGACAGCGCGAGGCTGGGGAGCCATCTCAGCAAGAAGCGTGTCTGGTCTGGGCCTGCATTACCCTATGGCCCCACCTCTGTAGGCCGCAGGAGCGTGGTTGCCATCTGCTTCACTTGGTGTAAAAGGAGTGTTGTCCTCACCCTTGGCAGATTGCCACCCTAGCACCTCAGCTGAAGCGCCTGGCTTAGAGGCCCTCTCTTTCCCTTCCACTAAAGTCAGTCCCTAAGGAAAATTTCCCAGAAGACAGGGCTACACGGTAGTTCCAATGCAGAGAGTTCTGGCTAAGATTTTGTTTGCTTGTGTCTGATGCTGAAAAAAGCTGGCCATATCCCTTACTCCTTTCTTCTCTGTATTGTAAAAATGGCTGTTGTGATCATTCAGCTCAGCTTTTGTGATTGGTACCTCCCAAAGGGAAAAGTGCAATATTCCTTCGAGTAGTGGGGAACAGGATTGATTGTTCAAGAAGCACTGACATACACAGAGCAGCATGTGAGATGTTTAAAGTAGATCCCAGTTATACATCAGGTAACTTAGGAAAACAGCGGTTTACTACATGTTGCATTTGCTGTGGGAGATAGAAATCTTACAGTTAAAACTGAGTTTTAAAAAATGCTAGATTAGGTTCTTGGGTCGTGTTATCAACTGTTACTAATCTTTGTGACTATTTAATCTTCAAATATTGTGCTTCAACCCCAGCAAACCGCACGTATCCTGCACCCTACCCCAAAAGAATCATCTGTATTTTAATGCCACTGCTCTAATTGGTCCTTTTTTCTGTTGAGACCAATCGTGACAGTGTTCAAGATTATGGAAGTGTTACAATGCCGCTTTAAGTCTGCAAAACCTCAAATGTAGTCAACTTGACAAACTCTTAAGTGTTATTGTAGATTTAAAATCCATCTGGCACATTGTGGTAGGTATTTGTACAGTTCTTTTAATTATACATAGCTTTAAACCTCAACCTGATGAATTTAACACTTTGGCACCCATGCCTTCACTTCAGAATGAACACTTTCATTGCGATCTTATGTTAATCTGAGAATTGATTTAAAGGAAGATCGATAATCCTACACTTGTAAAAAAATACAGGGCTATTGTATTTTAGACAGATCATATACAGGAAAATTTTCCAGCCAATTTCGCTACCTCCCAACTTGATGGAATAGAGGTAGCAGGCAAATGCTGGTGCTCCCATCTACCTTGTAGACACCCAGCCATCAAGAATTCTCAAGGCACAACAAGTGCGCTCACTGTTCACAGTAAATGTTTGCAAAACATTCAGTTTAACTTTTGACATCACAAATGATGTCTCATCTGAATTTCAAATCTGAACAATTATAATCTTTTTTGCGTTATATAACACTATTATTTTCTACTGTTCTGAGCATATTAAAATTCTATTGGATTTCAAAAAGGGACTAATAACCAATTGACTTACTATACAAATATCAACTTGTGATACTCAATGAAATTTCTTGCTGTTTACACTTTACATTTTGCTTTACTGAACGTGTATGAGTATTTAATTTTCTAAAAGGCACCATTACACAGTATATCCTACATTTATCACATTTCTTAAAGTGTTAAGATTCTAGGACTCATTTCTATGTATTTTTCTTACTTTACAAAATAACTTGAAACAGTATAGATTTTGTAACTTAATTTTAGCAGCTTCTTTTTTTATTACATTGAATTATAAGAACTGCATGTTACCTTAGAAAAGTTAATATTTGCTGCTTTACTCTTTTGCAAAAACATTTGCTGTAATGAAGGAATTTGTATTTCCAAAATGTACCTTGACTGCATTTTGTAATATTTACCGCTTTATTCCTAATTCTGCTTTAAAGTATTGAACTGGGCATGAAATATTAAAATATTAATCCAGAACCTGTGTAAACTGGATGTTGCTTAAAATCTGTATCACTGCCATGTTGGGAACCCAGACTGCTTTTGTGATGTTTCAAATTAATAAAACTATCCTCCTCCTCATCAGCTTACATGTGTCTTCATGGAATCAACAGAAGTATCACAAATGCTCTAAAGCAACTGACAGCAGTTGACTCACTTCTGACTATTATGGTTCAAGATATAATGGGCATGCGATTAACCAACATATAAAACCTAACAGGAAATTCTGTCATACTGTCATCAGAAATATAGCTTCAGTCTCCTGCTACAAAAATTGAAAAACAACAGAATGTAATAGTCTATATAATTAATGAAAGATCATCTTTAAAAAAAAAGACACTCAAAAATCAGAATTAAAACATTTTATTTTTGCCATAAGAAGCTCTACGAACTAATATCAGGTAACGGTTAATGAAAAGTAGAACTTAAAGTCATGACAGGGAAGACTATACAAGTATGAACACTACAGCACTGGGTGGAAATGAACAAAAGTTTCATATGACTGACAGAGGTGAGAAAGCCAGTGCTGTTGAATTAGTATTTAATTCTTTAGAGTATGCACACCTTGACGATACAAAAAACTTTTACCATTTTTACCTTTATCTTTTTGGTACAATGGGAAAAATGCAGCATCGATTCCTCATAGTGGTTCTATGTGGGGGATCATTACCAGCAAAATGACAAAATATATTTTAAAGTGAATCTCTCAAGGTTGCTATGGCATATAAAAATCTTTGCTTAGTTTGAGCACTTTCATTTTCTGTCATCTCTTTGAATAAGTTGCTATTTCAAACAGTTCCTATCCAGAATATTTATAGGTAATTTAGCATAGGAGCAAATCTGAAGCCAACTTGAATGAAAAAAATAGTTCAATTGCCAGAAAACTAAGTATAAAATAGGCAAACACCATGACAGGTTTTGAACAGCATCTTGCTACAGATTTCCAACCCCATAAACACTGGGAGTGAAGGGTTTTAATTCCCAGAGAGTATTCCACATGGATTCTGAACTTTGGATATAGAGACTTATAAAAAAACTGAAGACCCTGACATACATTCAAGTTTAAGAGTCTTCTGGCAAAAATACAATTTAAAGTGAATTTTCCAGTTTTCCTCCTCCCAAAAAACTCTAGAAGATACCTTCAGTAGGCAGAGTTTAAATTTCAGACTCAGAACTTAGATAGAGCACAGCAGCAGTAAATAATTCTATCAAGATAATTCAGAATGGATAGTTTTCCATTATAGAATTCCTAGTTTGTCATAATGGCCTTGTAGAACCAAGTTTTACTGAAAAAATGAAAGTGTTTGTCATTCAGTCGTAACCGACTCTATGCAACCCCATGGACTGTAGCCTGCCAGGCTCCTCTGTTTATGGACTTTCCCAGGTAAGAATACTGAAGTGGGTAGCCATTCCCTTTCCAGAGGATCTTCCTGACTCATGGATAGAACCCAGGTCTTCCCACTGCAGACGGACTCTTTACCATCTGAGCCATCCAGGAAGTTAGCAGTTAAGTCTGAAAGGACTGGAAGTATCATTCACACTTGTTGAATTATGTCTAACTGGTGAAACAGCATAAATGAAACAAACAGATTTCCACTGAAAACATTTCAGAGTGTACCCTATAGTCAAAGAGTAATGTTATCAACACATATACAGAAAGGAAACAGATATTGCAATTCCAGAGATCAGACTCTTAAGCTGTATGGTAATTTTAAAAATTTTCCAAGGATTAGTTTACAAAATGGTCTTAAGGTCTCAACTCACAGAACGGAAAACATAAAAGATGTACATCATTCTAACCCTCGGTAAGCAAAGGATTGTATTATTTTTCTTTCTCCTTGTATTACTGCAAACACTGATGCCTGATACCCTCAGTTACCATCTAAGAAATACTGAAATCATTATCTTCAAGTCTAGCTTACGGTCAGAAGGATGACGTATACATGAGAAACTGATTAAAGCTTTAAGTTCAAAGTCAAGAAATAGACTATTTTCAAAAATATATTGTTAAGGAGAAAGAAAATATCTATCTTGAATTAAGAAATACTTAAGCAAGGTTACAAAGGACTAATAACTATGCACAACAATCTTTTTCAGTATCTAATCATATCTTTTTTCCTTTGCAAAAATTTACAGAAGTTCAACAAGTCAATCCTGTTATAAATGCTAGGCTATATATTTGTTCCAACCTGCTTCCCTTTTAGTACTGGCACTTCAATAAGTTTTGACTTTATTTTCTAAGTGTTTAAACATGTGTCATTTTAAAAGGGAGAAAGGTGGTATTCATTGTTCTCAAGATAAATGGGAATCAACAAGCCTATTTAACTTCCTTGTATAGCTTCTGATTGCTATAATACTGCAGCAATTTGCAGATGGGATGGAACTTATTTAAAGAGTAAAAACCTAAAAGGTCTTGCTGAAAGGAAAATACTAGATATCTGATTCAGCTATGTCAAATAAAAACTTCCTATTAGAGATTCTAAGTAATATGAACATTTAAAAATACATGCCAGTAGCCTCCCACCCAAAATATGTAGGAGTCTCATTTATGAAATTTGTCATTTATAAAGATGCATACATAAAGATTAGTTTGGTGGTGTTCAGATTCAAAATTTGAAAATTTCATAGGAATATTCTTTAACCATAATGAGCAAAAAGGAAATCTCCATTCACTTCCATTCTCTGTCTCTATCATGTAAGAGCACAGAATTTAAAGCAAATATGATAAAACTTTTAATCTCTTCCTGTCTGCATTACAGAGATTTCTTTTTTGCCCATAGAAACCACACTGCAAAGGTATATATACAGTAGTCCAGGCACCAAAGTCTTTTCGAGACTATGGTGATAAAAGTGAAGTTTAATTCTAATTAGCCAAAACTCATTCATTCTTCAAATGAGAAACTTGTCTGCACGGCTATTTTCATAAGGGGTGGGAGGCAGGAGGCTGCTATCCATTTGGGTTAGCAAAATACACAACCAAGCAGAGACTTACTCTGAAAATTCCCAGGACAACTTTAGAAGTTCTCATTTACTCTTTATGCCATATACAAGACACAACAGACATTTATAGTCTCAATAATAAGAAAATTGAGAATTCAGCAGTAAAGTGCTAACACGGAAGGGGAAAGTTCCAAGATATACTAGGGTATGCTAATAACTCCAGTTATTTTCAAAGAACATTCAAACTGATTCAAATTCTATTCAGGAAACTATCTCTCCAAGCTTTTTTTTTTCTTTTTGCATCTTTTAAATGTGCTGAAAGCTAACTATATAAACAGATACTTGGGGGAGGGGGAAGTTCTCAACCTCTATTCAAACTTTCAGAATAATTTGCTTCTAAAAATTATGAACAAATAGTCCAACTAGACTACCTTCAGATGACATGGCAGATCAAATGAACTTGTTTTCACCTTTGTTTTACAGGTCTTCTGAAAGCCCTGCCCCTTAAATCCAAACCGAAACTTTCTAATATTTCAAAGGAGTTCAATAAGATTCTGGTATTATAAATTCAAACTCAGTACTGCCATCTGTTACATTCTGTTTAAAAATGGAATCATTTTCCTGCTGAATAAAAATATCTTCCCAGGTCATGGGCTTGTTCTGAGGAGCAGATGTGGTCCCTACTGGAGGTTCTTTCCCAGCATCAACCTTATACCCAATACCGTCATCCTTCATTACAGGCATAGTGCCTGACCTATCAGAGAGGTATGCATATTGTCTGATCTGTAAAGACCTGCATGGATGTAAACGATAAAGCTTCGAGTCTCCAGAAGGATCTTGACTATGAACGGACTTTATGTGTGAAGACATAAACTGATAGTTGATGAAAGACTTGCCACAGGCCAAACATTGATACCTTCGCTCTCCTGTGTGATGAATTTCATGCTTCGTGCGATATTCTGCAAGAGGAAAGACCTTTTCACAGTAACGGCAAGGATACTTCTTCTCCCAAGAATGAATGTTAAAATGTCTCCGCAAGCTTGTCAGGCAGACATATGACCTTTTGCATACAATACAGATATAATAGACCCTTCCATCTACTATTAACTCATAGTGATCATCATGTTTAACTTTCATACGTTTATTTGCCGTCTCATTGCTAGGTGTTTTTGGTATCTCGTTCCCAAGTCTGGCCTCCCCTTCGTCAGGGTCATCTTTGACAGGGATAACTATATCATAAGTATCTTCACCAATATTTGCATAAACCTTGCAACCCGTTGACAAGCCTTCAATTTCAGTAGCTGTATCTAAAGTAATAATCTTCTGGCCCTCCATTAGATGTTTGGATCCTAAACCTGGATCATTAGTGTTTCTCGTAATTATATCTGAAATTTTTAAAGAATTGGAAACTGGCTCTTGCAGAAGTGTAGGAATCTGCATCTTCTGTATCAATGATCCATCAAAAGTGGTATTTGGGGGGATCTCAGCCTGTGGGACCAAAGATGTATTACTGACAGCAGAATCTGGACTGGAGCTAATAGTGTCATCATCATCATCTATAATCTCCTCCTCCTCCTCTTCATTGGCCTTGTTTCCTGGTAAAACAGCACTGTTTGGTGGCTGTTGATTCTGTACAAGTAAATTGATTGAAGGAGACATATGATTTGGAAGTGAAGAACTGACATTTGGTGGTGTAGTAAGTGGTGTCTGATTTAACAAAATGATGTTGGGAGTCAGATGTGTTGGGGCCGAAGACACCAACAATTTTTCACTTCCCTGTGTCTGGCTCAGAGTTGCCTGATTCACAGAAGTAGGAAGTTTCTGAGTAGGTGTGATGTTTGTTAAAGGGGGAGAGCTATTGCTCACACAAGGTGCATCATCTGAAATAGCAACAGAGCCTGGGTTAGGCTGGGCCTCTGCCACTGTGTTGGTACTTGGCAAAGTCTCCTTTGCAGGCAGGATCTCAGAGCAGAAAATGACATCATCGTCGTCATCATCTGAATCAGTAACAATGATCTTTTTTGTCTCATAATCTTCAGCAGACAAGGAAAAAGATTCTGTTATAATTGGCATTATAGTGGCCCCATTTTCTTGGGATTCATCCTTTGATTTTTGTATTTCAGGAGGTGAAGTTTCTGCATTACCATCC